CTCTACCTTATTTAATCCAGAATGTTCTCCTCGATCTGGGCTGCTTTTCCTCACAATTTCCTTACCAGAGAAACCTGTTGTCCCGCTAGGGCCCGATTCTGCTACCCCCAATTTTCCTTTTCAGCCTAAGTGAACCTATTTTTCTTAAGGCCCACCCTGGAAAATTTAGTTGGGTTACGATCCGAATCTGAATTATACCTTTGTCTTCTATTTCCAAAACAACCAGGGATTGAGACATTTTGGCCTTTGTTTATGTCTCCCTCATGGGTTTAGGTCGAATTTCCGGAGCCACCCCCCCCCCCCCCCCTCTTCCCCCCTTCTGCTATACGGATTCTTTCTGCCCTACCCGAACATCTTTCCATCCTTGCCTTTCAGCACTGCCGCATAGGATTTTGATCCGCCAACATCCATCATGAAGTGGATTAGGGTTTTGCAATGAGGGCAATTGAAAGAGGCTCTCCAAGGTGTATTCGTGTTTCCCAATTTCAGTCACACCTCAGGAGGAAACTCCTTAACTAGTTTTTCCATGTTCCCTGGTTTTTTGAATGGACGGTCCCCCAATTCGGACACTGCAGCAATAAGGTTCCACCACCCCTTCCCATCACATCCCTTGGGAAGAAGATCCTTCTAGGCCTTTGGTTCCCATGCACTGTCAATACAATGTAGTCGCCCCTCCTATTTTGCCCACTGGTCAACCATAGTTCATAGTTTCTTCTCACTAAGTGTTTCACCCATACACCTGGCTTCTTCCTCCACCAAAACTCATGTAGACCATATAAAAACCATTCGAACTCCCCCTTGTCAAGAAATATAGTTCTCCAGAAACCCTATCCATTCTCATAAATTCTCAACCACTCCGCCCTTTTGCCTTCGCATATCAAATCAAAAGACTTATTTTCGCATGAAAAGAATCTCCTCCAATACACACTCATGAGATCCACCAAGGGCGGCCAGGTTGTGCAACCCATGGTGTCGAAATGTAATCGGTAGAGCCCATAGCGTTATAAGGAAAGAGAGAAGATTTAGTATTGTCAATAATGCCCCGGGACAGATATAAGCTTGAATGTCCTTAATTTAAAGAGCTTGAAAGCCTGTCTTGTAGCCTCTGCAACGGCTCCTTGTGCTCTTTTGCCACTTTCTTAGATTTCGAAATTGTCTGTATTTTGCTGTCTACCTCCTCCTCTATTACATTAATCATTCACCCCCTTTAAGGCCCTTCACCGAAAATTTTCGTAAACCCTGACATGATTACGAGACAAACAGTAGCTGGAGATGATGATGACGCAAAACGGCAACCGGAGGTGAAGTTTTGGCAACTTGCTTGAGAATCAAGAGCACCTGATGGGAGTGGTAGGATAGGAGAAATAAGCCCAAATATTGGCGAAAACAAACAACTGCAAGATAAACTGTGGACTTGGGACGGGATTTGTAAAAATTCAAAAATTGTTAAACTTATTCCTCTACTATTTTTTGGATAATTTAGAAAGAGAGAAATAATAGAGTATTTGAGGGGTGTATAAGCAATATGGCCAGTATTAAGAATAGGTGGATTAATGTTTTTGGAGCTCTTATACTTGGTCATGACATTTACGGGTGGAATGATTTTGGGAAGATTATAGATGTTCTCACTGAAATGAAAATATTTTCTACATGTACAATTTTTTATCTCAAAAAATTGTCTAGATTTTTTTTTGTCTCTAAATTACTTATTATGCAAATTAACCATAATTTGCCCTTATCATTCACAGTGTAGAAATGTATGTAGATCTTTGTTTCCCACTAACAATATTCAGAGAAATTAAAAAAGTACATGCATATGGAACCAGAAATTCCAAATCACTAACAGCATAATACAACACATAAAAGAAGAGTCAAATTCAAAATCATGTATGAGTTGAACTAAAGAGTCTACAAACTACCACAATCTATACACATTATTCATCAGATCTATGTCTAAATAAACCCAAAAGATCTTTCTCTGCCAACAAACGGGAAAATTTCAACTTGGATGCACACAACGTACTCAAACACAGAGCATATGGCACTG